TATAATAGTAGTATCATGTACATCCTATTAAAGAGGACGGATAACATATTCAACAGTGCCTCAGGGCCACAATTTCAAAGACCTGTGTAGTGCTAAATGATGCAGGTGAAAGACTCCGGGGACTTTCCAAAGCCCCCAGCTGCACACTCCCAATGATATCAACTATTCAAATGAAAAGTTGTTTAATGTATTTGTTCTGGAGCTGAAGTTTCACTTAAAGTCTGGGAGAGACATAATCCCATGGGCTAATTTTTAAAACTGATTCTCACTGATTTCAAAGGCAGGTAAATGGCTAATACTCAGATAAATCTAGCCCAGAGTGAGGCATAAATTCTATTTAGGGTCTATCTCCCTTTGAAATAATGGCAGTTAGGCACCTATCTGCTTTGAGGAGGTGGGTTTTAGCATCGCAAATATTTTGGCCGTATATCCATTACACAGATGTAACAGAGGCTAACCCCTAAATATTACAATACCACATCTTTTACGGTAAAGGAATGGAAAGGAAATTAAAGATTTTTTTTGCCACTGGAAATTGTCCAAAAACCAAAAAATGTACATACTTTGTAGATGAATTCTTCCAAAAAATATACAAGGATGACAATTGCCAGCATTAGAAAATGAGGTAGTTGAGGAATTGAGGAATATTGTGAAGGAAGAAAGACAAAGAAAAAGGTAAAACAGGGGCCTCACTGGGAAAAAACCCACAATTTGAAGAGGGGCATGAAAGTTGAAGACTTGAAGTCAAGACAGATGGAGCCAATACATTCAAAACCATTTGCAATTGAGCTTATTTCATGAGACTCTGCTATTTGGAACGGCCGAAATATTGTAAGATCACACCTCTGCCTCTTTAGGAAGTCTGTTTTGAAGATATCCGTCCTGGATGTGACCCTGAACACAGCACTGGAGAGGCTGAAATATTCACCCTAATCAATACTGCAGGCCCAGCCAGGTGAGTGTACTGGTGAGTCTCAGGTCTGCTGCTCTTCCCCAGCAGGCGGCAAAAGGCCTGCTTAATCCTGAGAACTGTTTTAAAAAGGGTTATGAAACGATCAGAGAATTTCAGCCCCAGGGCTGGCTACCCCCAATACCCACTTCAGCTCAATAACGCCCATTCAGCACCCTGCTCCTCCTCCCAAAGCGTCCTGCAGTGAAACCCTTTTGTTTCCCAAGGAACAAGATAATTCTCCAACACCCCTTCTAGCCTCGCACTTTTCTAATATTTCCAAACACTTGCACGAGCAGAAAAAATCCCTGGGATTTTTAGCCGCCTTCTTGCTGAAATCAATTTACCTTCCACGTTCTTGAGTAAACTACAGAGCTGCAAGATACCGCCCAAATATCTCTCCTCTGTTGCAATGCTCCTGCATGCTATAAATACAAAGTTAATTTGTGCAATGTGTGGGCTCACGCTTGGAAATGCAGAGGACTGTGCAAGCTAATATCCTTCCCAGGAAAAAACACAGCATGACGTACGAAAGAAAATGGTGCAAGCAAGAGGCAGCCGAGGGTCTCTAAAGAGAAAACAATGGCATATTTTCCAAAGATGGACTGAATGTCCCGATGGTGCCGAGCAGAGAAAAGAGAGGATGTCAAGAGAAACCAGAGTTTTTGTATGAGGAAATGACTGGAGGATGAAAAGGGGGTGGCAAGAGGCCGAGCTCACTGCGGTGAAACGGCTGGCGTACAGTCAGGCGATACGTGGCTGCAGCCCAAAGCGTTAAAAATCCTCTGGCGTCTATCACCATTCGTTTGGGACTGACTTCATTTGCAAACTTTGGGATAAATATTAGCACAGCTATTCAAGATAGCCAGGGCAGCCGGCCCGTTTTTTCTCACTTTATGGCTTTTAGGTGTGGACTGTAACACATCACTTAAGCAGCACAAAACAGATTTACTGAGTAAGTCATTGCACTGGGCTTGAAAAAAAAAGTATTGTTTTGATTGGGTTGGTGGTAGGGTTCCACCCAAGATCCCTGGGAAAAGTTAATTAAGGACAACTGCTCACGCCATCACACGCAGTGAAATCGAGCGAAGTGGGGAGAAGCAGCCGTGCTGGGAGCTGCTTCTGGGAACGTGATGTCAGGCCTCCATAGCTTGGGCATAAGGGAGGATTCATCTAGGATTTATTTCATTTTTGGAACCACAGAAATTCAACTATTTGATCACCCTCTTATCTCCAGTAAATCACTTCCACTATTATTTTATCTACTTACTATGCATTCTTTGATTTTATGCTTACTACCTTGTTACTGTAAAAAGCTAATTGATTTTATGCTTAATGCCTTGTTACTGTACGAAGCTAATTGATTACATCCATAAAACCAGCAGGCTACACACAATCTGATGGTTATGGTAGGATCTACCACCAGATTTAAAAAGACAGCTGGAATTTTTTGTAGCTGTTTTTTTTCAGCTACCCTTGGACCTACGCAACTCATTAGAAACATACTGCCTACATGTAACCGCTAACAGCTAGAGACCTCAAGGCTTTTTACATTGGGCCCATTTTCTACAAAAAAACCCCTGCAACTACTCAAGGAGGTAGAAGAGAGGACAACAGGGGAGTCACTGTGTGAATTTCAGCAGAAGAGACCAAAGCAATGGTCTACACAGAAATACGCCTTGCATCCACCCAGCAACGAGGGCGAGAGCTGGAGAGCTGCCAGCTGGAGTTACGCTGCCGAGGGGAAGGAGAAGTTCTGCCTTGAGATGTCCCTCGACACACTACGGGTCCCCAGCATCGCCTGGTATCTGCAGCAACAAACCCCTCTTGCCCCTCTATACTGGAGCAACGCTTGGACAGCTGGAAACAGAACCGGTTACCATCACCCACCCCTCTGCTAAAATACACACACTAGAAACCGGCTGAGCCTCGAAGAAGGAAAGAACAGGACAACACTGATGTCTGCAGCAACAAACCCCTCTTGCCCCTCTATACTGGCGCAACGCTTGGACAGCTGGAAACAGAACCGGTTACCATCACCCACCCCTCTGCTAAAATACACACTCTAGAAACCAGCTGGGCCTCGAAGAAGGAAAGAACAGGACAACACTGATGACTGCCACAGGCTATCCAGAGCCTCCTCGAGAGGCCTTGTGGATTTCAGACAGCTCCTCGTATTTGGACACAGGGCAAGGGACACGTCCTCGGGCCCCAAAAGACATGTTTCTACCGCAGATCTCCCATCAGAACAACTACTGCCTATGCCAAGAGCTGCTACAGCCCTGTGGGTACGGTTACGCAGGCTGCACTTTCTAAACCACTTGCAGAGACAGCATGCTTAAGAGTTGTTATTTCTTACAATTTGTGTGTTGGATGGTTTGCTAAAATTAGGAAAAAGTATATTCCAGAGCTGGAACATTTATGACTTCTTTACATTACTGTATATTTTAATTCTTAAAAATAGATTTAAGTGACATGATAAGTAAAGAGTCCTGTTTAATCTATTTCAGCCTGTTTGCCACATTCCTGGTTTGGCCTGTTTGGCTTGTTAATTTAGAGATGTATAAAACCACCTGTTTCACTGTAGACTTTGTTTTAAGCCTCAGAGGAAACAAACCACACAAATAAATGAAATTCACTACGTCATTTCTGTTAGAATATATGTATTTACAGCCACCAGAGCAGACACTAAGTACCCTATAACTCTAATGTTAGTGCAGGATTTTAACTACTTACAATACTGTTACAAAAAGTCAGTGCAACTGAATTTATATCACACAAGGGATTTTCTTAAATTGTTCCACCTCTCATTTAAAGTGAAGAACAGTGACATTCTACCCATTGTTAAAAGAATGTAATAAAGAAAGAAAAAAAAAAGCTTCATAATTAAAAAAATATATCTTGGAAAAAATACATCCCAGGCAAATGTACCTAATAGCCAGGATTCCTGTCCGTATATCTGCCTCTATGGTTTGTAATGCCAAAAAGTCACCTACAGACGCTCATCCTCTTGACATGACTGTAAACTTCAGCAGTCATACTCTATTTGTCAAAAACAGAGCAGACCTACAATTTTTTACTCAACAATATTTCACTAAGAAGACACATTCACTGAACCTAAAGTTTTTACAGACGTCTCTTTTATTGAGAAGAGACTCCTGTTCCAGATGAGAATGAGAAGGAAGAAAGTCATCCCCAAACAAGTTGCCTATGAAGGGGGCTACCGCTCACTTCCATTTTTTGGCCAGAAGAATAAAACATATTTTGATTTTGATCTATAATAGAGATGATTTTTCAAAACTTGATACAAAATAGAGTCCTTGCTTACTGACCGGGGTACTAGAGAGCTGCTGTGTCTGCTGCACTGATATTTAGAAAGAAAAAATGGTTCTTTCAAATATAATATTCTCTAGTGTCTCCTTTCATCACTACTACACTATATAGTCTATTGCACAGACTATGGTTCTGAAGATTAAATATTTAACTAAGGAAACCTAAAGATGTCAGTCATGGAGTAAATACTAAATCAATTTAAGAAAGTTCAGTGATATACTGCATAACATTTTACTGCAGGGTGAACAAGGAGTAGGTAGGTGGCCTGGGACCTAAAGTGGTTGTTGAGGAATCAAAGCATTTAACTGAGTAGTTTTAAAAATATATAAGCCAATTGAAGTTTCTAATAGAATCTTATTTGAAGACAGTTCTCCAAACCATGTTTTTCAGCAGGGAGCTTAGGTTAAGGGAATATACAGCTAAAACATAATGACTTCCAAGAACCTGAGCCCCTGACCTTGTGCCCCCATCCACCAAAGCACATAAGCAGGACTTTGAACATTTCAAGAGTCCCACAGTCAGCTTCTTCCTTGGCCCCTTTTTCTTCTTTTCTTTCTCCCCTTTTGGCTTTTCTGAAAGTGGCATGGATTTTCCTCCTGGAGTGATTTTATCTCCTGCCATGAGAAAAATCTGTTATGTCCTGTTCAAATGGCTAAACCAGCCTACACTCTGTCCCTTCAGTGCCTTCCCACAGTGCAGTTAGCAGGGTTGTACTCACAATATTCATCAGGGTCAGCAGGTACTTCTGAACATGTTCTTTCCCATGGAATTGAACAACTGAGTCATCTACCCCCAGAAGGACTTCAATGTTGTAATCATCCTCCGTCGCATGCCTTCGATAGCGCTGCCTCGATCTATGCACCCGGTCTTCAATAAAGCTCAACGCGCTGTCGAGACGATCCAAATTAGTGAGGTTAGCCGCTGAAATCAAACAGACAAATGAGTTATCAACCAGGAGAGGTTCAGCCTCAGGTCTCAGCTAAGCTGGTATAAATTTGAAGTAGCAGCATTTGTTATGTTCTGTGTGTTATATAACAGCATTAGTTTCATCTAATGTCAATTAAAAATGACCTAAATGAGAGAGATATCTGACCCAAAAGATTTTTACTTTGCAAAGTAAAAGCAATACTTTCTACAAAGTAATATGGCGTAATAAATACAAGGCCAAAAGGAGAGCAAGTCATACCAATGTCTTGATGAGAAGAATGGAGCTGTTTGCAGTAAAATACTTGTTGCTTAAAAGTACTTGTAACAAAAATACACCGTTCAGGGGTCTTGTGCTACCAAGGATATCCTCCATTTCAGAACAATCAAAGATAGACACCATACTTCAAAATCTGATCTTAACTGCCCACAGAGTCCTATTTCAAGGCAAGCGCAGTTGCCAATACAGCCTTTTTCTATCCAGGCAGGTAGCAACAAACCAATCCCTCCCGCTTCAACACATTGGCTCCTTTCATAGATACACACATGCAATTCAACAGTAGCGACATGGATCCCCTTTATCGTTACAACTCAGGAACACATTTTAGATATAAAATTAATTAATTTATAGCTACGTTCAGCTTTTTATCCTTCATTCCCAATTTGCCATGTCACTCTGCATTATTGTATGTCAAAGACCAATCCATCAGGCACAACAGTAGCCACCTTTATTACTAACGATTTCTAATAGTCCCTGTGATATGAAAAGCATGTTCTTTGACAGGACGGGATACAGTTAATGTGGCACCCACCTACTAAAAATTAACATAAAAATATGGAATCTTGACGTTTCACCCTATAGAACAATGATGAGCATTAATATCATTATTACCATTTGCATTACAAGAGCCCTGGAAGCCCCACCGAGAACCTCTTGATTTCAGAGAATGTCAGGAAAAGACTTGCTCAGAGAAGCGAAGAAAGGCAGCGAGAGCGCGGTGGATTGATGAAAGGCTCCCAGTGCTTAGTTCACAGAAACATAATAGAGCACAAAGGGAGGAAGCTAAAGCCATCACCTTCAAAGGAGAAATAAGAAACGACTCTTGGAAACGTTACAAAAGTGGATTCTCTATCTTCAATTACTGAAGTTTTCACATCAAAACTGGCTGCTTGGGCAGGGATGAACGAGTCCCCGGATCACTGGGCTCATTACAAGAACATCTGTGCTCTTGCCTTAAGACCACTGCCTCGGGCTGCCGCTTCAGCAGGGCCTGGGCAAGGCGCAGCCCGGGCAGAGCCCCCCCCCCCGCCGCTCCCGCTGTGCTGGCAACAACACGCCGACCTGTACAGCCTCCGGCTGCCGGAGGGACGCACCCCCGGCCCCCGCCGCAGCGCTCCTGACCGCCCCGTGCCTCAGGCTGTACCTTGCGTGGCGAGGTGCTTGCCTCTGTGCCTCCCAGAAGAGACCGCCCGTCAAAGGACGGTTCCCGAAAGACACGTTTGCCTGGGCAGCTTCTTCCCATTTCTCCACCAAGCTTCAGGGACGTGCTTGTCACGAGACCCGCTGCCGCAGCGCGCTGCACTGGCAGAGCCCCCCTGGCTCACCAGACAGAGAAGGCCCCATGCGGTGGTCCTACATCCCCCTGGAGCCCCAATGTCCTTCTCCTGGGAGGGCAGCATTTAATGCGGCTAATAAGCACAACATGTTCTCGTTGCCAGCCTCAAGGCTCCCAGCAGCTTCTGCTCCCAGGGCCGCAAGTTTTTAAAATTAGTCTGGTCAGAATCCATGATTCAGCATGAAAATTCACTCTTCACGCCGAGCCCAGCTGTCACTCCCAGGTTTACCGCAGAGGGGGAGCGGGTCTGGCCCTGCAGCAATGGAGACAGCTCTTTACCAGGGCTCCAAACCTGCCAAGCAGCCAGCTCCAGCCCTCCTGCCTTACTCCACCAGGAAAACTTCAGTGTCAATCCTTGCCAGCACCCAGAAGTAATCTGGCTATCACAGGTCTCAGGGGATTCGCTATGGGATTGTGGGCAATCATATATTCATGATCTATAAGGCAAATCACAGTTACTGCAAAATTTGACCATAAATCTTAAAAGCTCTCTAGAAAAGTACGACTAGGCTGGCAGGGGCTGCACGTCGTGTCCTCTCTCTGCTGCTCACAAAAAACCACAGTAATCAGCAGCAAGGCCAAAGCTATCAGACCTCCTATTGCAGAACAGCGGTGCTGGGCGGGCAGGGAGAGCCTAAGCCCTGCGCTGCAGCTGCAGGCAGGCAGCTCTGCTGGTATTTTGGTGGACGGTCGGCTGTCAAGGTATCCAGAGCTTTTGTGCTTTCATTTCTTTCCCTTATGTGTCAAAGTCAAACTAACTCCTAGTACGGTTGAATAAATCAGCCAGAGGCAAAATGTGATCCTACCGTCCTGCATTTACCATCCTGCAGTGAAAACTGCCTGTCCTCCCTCTCTGCTCCTCACTTCATCACTGTCACACTATAACCCTAACAGTCCCGCCAGCTCCTGAGAAGAGTTATCAGGAGGTTCCCTGGGAGTCACCTCACTGCCAGTGGGTGCCAACCAACGACTTTAAATTTTGCTTGGAGCGCAAAACTTCCCCACGCCCACGTTTACCCTCACCCCTCAGGTGTCACCCCCTCAAGACAACATGCCCAGTGGGCACGGGTCCCTCTGAGGCATCGACCTGACGTGCTTCCCAGCGGAGAGCGAGCCACACCGGCTCCAGCTGGCACTGGAATCATCCCAAGACCAGCAGCACAGCTCAAAACATTTACAACAGTAGCTGCAAGATTTTTGACTCGTACCCCAACTTCCCACCGAGTGTCCTTTCCCGGGAGGCTCTCCCGGGACCGGCAGGGATGCCTCCACACACGGCCTGACCGTACACTGCACGGGCTCCTCCTGCGGTGCTGCTCTGCCTCTCAGTCTCTTGGATGATGAATTGTTGGATTTGCTGGCCCATGCTGTGTTATGCCCATGTTGGATTTGCTCCTAAATGACAGTTACATCCAAATGAAATTAATACCTGTACCTTACCAAAGAGGAGTGAAACAAAGTTGCACCTGCAGTAAATGAGAAATTTGTCATGTTTTGGCATCTCAGCTTCCCTTAGCTGACATCAGTAACTTTGTTGCATCATTGTACTGCTAACAATATGCTAGAAAAGCTCAAGATAAAAACTCGAAGAACTAAATAAGACACCAAACTCCTCCTTCACATGTTCCATGTTACCCTCCTTCTGATCACCCCTGCACTTTGCTCAATAACATCCCAAAAGTCATCTCAAACTGCAGTGTTTTACTAAATCATCCCAAGACCTCTGCATCAGATGTTCATTTTCAGCAGCTTTTGCAAATCAGTGCATCAGCCACTAACTACTGGTGCCAACTTTGTTCTCCATCTCCCAAGAGCAGACACTTGGCATTTGCAGGGGCTAACAACAGCCTGTGTTGAAACCTTCTCCTTGCTCCCGCTAGGAAAAATTCACATTTGTGAAAATTAACCACTGAGAGACAAGGCTGTATTTTTCTCTTGTGCTGCTCATCCAGAATAAATCAAAAGGACAGCAGCACTGTAACAGTTCTCCCAAAAATCTCTCAAAAAAGCTCTTTTTTCGAAAGCCAGCTAAAAACTCAGTGATATTTCAGTGATTTTCTCCTAATACTGCAGATCGTCCTCCAGTGAAGGAATAAAAAGTGCCCAAGTTGTCGATAGAAGGGAAACTTGTGCTTCTGGCTTAAGCATAAAATCAGGAGCCAGGCAGCCCGATTTGTGCTCCTGCCTCTGACACAGACTTTCCCCGCCGTGCTGGGAGATGCAGAAGGCAGCCGAGAGCCGGGCAGCAAAACTGCTGAGGGAAAAGCGTGTGCACGATCCCGCTTGATGCTGCAGCCTGGGGTTTTTGTGGCTGTCCTCCATTTTTGTTTGCAGTTAATGCAGGCGAGTGATCCTAACTGCTCCCAGGCAGCAAAGTCCTAGTCGTTTGCTGACTCAAGAACCAGACAATGTCCCCAGCTGTGACAGCCCCAATGATGCATTCATATATGTAGAGTACATCGAAACCTAAAGAGGACAGGCCTTTATACCGTGCCGGTGCAAACTGATTACAGCATTATACATCATACAAGATCCCTCTCCTCTGCTCCCTTCTCCTGAGCAACGTGCTATATCCCAGTCTTTTACCTGAACTGTTCCACTTTTCAATCTGCTATTTTACTTTTTGTACCTGGGCTCTACCTGAGCTTCCACGTTCGCCAGGACTAGAGGTCTGAACACCCAGTACCATGGCAGCATCGTGCAGCCTGGCTCCGATCCCCACCTCTAGGACAGGGAAAATTCACATTGACACCAGCATCAGTTTTGTCTTTGCAGGTCTTCAGAACAATTCTCCATCTGTGACAGTTTGGGATGTTTGACAACACCTTATTTTCTGGGAAATTTTGCCTTGCTCATTAATCTTTGATACCATGTGCTTTACAGAAACCTAATTACATGACATCTCCTGGTTCTGCCTTACCCATCGTGGCAGGCAAAGCTCAAACAGATGCTGTGAGTTACTGAAGCATGAACACGCTGCCTGCCACGAAAACCGCCTCTCCCTGTGTTTTCTGTCACTCCCTTTAGGACATCCACCAAAAGCACAGTTGCTGGCTTGTGATCTTGTTTTGTTTTTTCATGATCCCTTTCAAAAAGGCTCAGGGAAATCTGGCTGCACCTACAGCTCTTAAAGAGTCCCTTATGAAGCTACTGCACTGCAATAGTACCAGCTTTAGGGTTCCCCAATCTCACAGCAGCAACATTGTCCTAATAAAGCAGTTTCTGATTTTTCACCTCCTCTTTCTGGTAAGGGGAAGGGGACTTTCTGGCAAGCCCAGAGCAGAGACCAGGACAGGCAGCTGGGAGACTGACCTGCATGTCATGTTCACAGCCATCATCTGTGGCTTGTCAGCACAGCAACTCACTGGAATTTCTTTTCGAATATGAGTGTGCAGCATTAAGACCGGCCAGCCGCCATTTCAAATGCAGCTTGTTTGCTTTTGCGGACACTTCATCTGTCACGGCAGGAGCAGACAGACACCTGAGCCGACTGCTGAGCACCTCCTCTGCAGCCTCACAAGGATCAGCACTTCTGATGCACTGCTTTGCCGCTGATCTCCATTCCTGGGACACACTCCTGACGGGACTCCCTGTTTCCCATTCCTTCATGTGGCTTGCTGCAAACCACCAGCTTTTTTGTTGTTGTTTTTTTTTTTCCTTTTTAACCCCAGTGACTCAGACTGAACACCAGTGAAGCACAGCTGGAGCCGTTCTGTTGCAGTGGCAAGCATATCTGCGTGCGCAGCGCTGCGACGGCGCAGAAGCATGGGGCACCCACCGCTGCTCAGCTGCACTGCAGCTGGTGGCAATGCCACTCCAAGCCTGGGACTTGCGATCACAGCGTAGGCGTGAGGCCATCCATCCCTTGGTGCTGCAAACGCAGGAGGAACAGGCTGTGTGGCAGGGAAGCGGGAGGAGGCAGGGTGGACTTGCTTTAGCTCTCAGCTTCCCACTGCTCAAGTACATCTGCACCTCTGGAGAAGTACCAAACACCCTCGACAGCTTGACAACGAACTGCTCTTTTGGGAATTGCACCTTAAATCACAAGTCATCTTTCTGTAACGCTCCCTGCCACTCATATGCTGTAGGCTTCTGTCGTGTCTGTCCTCTGTGATCAACTGACTCCACAATTAGCCCCCAATCAGCCTGCTTGTGTATTCTACCAAAATCCTCATTTGTCTTCCATGGTAAATTGAAGCCCAACCCGTGGAGGTTGGAGGCAACAATGAACAGTCAACAAATCTTGCTTTTTATCCCCCAGCAATTTTTTCTCCCATTTTTAAGTTCCTCAGTTTGGGGTTTTGTTTTTCATTCCAGTTGCACACAATCATCGTGTGTTTTGTTCATTTGCTAATCAATAGTTTCTCTGATCTTTAATTTTTTTTTTTTAAACTTATTTCTGCTAGTTTTACAGTCCTGCTCACCTTCCTCTTTGCTTTCTGGTTTGTTTTCCAAATGTCCTCTATTTGTCTTTCTTCTCCCCCTTAACCATCCTGCTCAGCTACATTGGTCTTTCATAATTTATAAATCCCTTTCTCATTCTTCAGTCTGCATTTGGACCCTTCTGCTATAGATCATTCGTAAGAAAACTGGGTAAATCCAGCAAGGTGAATTAAAATGGAAGAGAGCTCCCGTGAGGTGAAAGCAAATTGAAAACCGTCTAAACAAGAGAAGAAATCACACACAGTGCACTGGGTACATGATACAATGTTAGCCCTGTTTAAAAGGCATCCCTGAGGACACTGCCTCAACGCAACTTTAACTTGGAGCTCAGTTTTCATGGGCTTCTTCTGATTTCTTGAATCACAGGTTAACACAGTGGCTGCTACTTGGTAATCCTTAACCAAGAGCAATTACTGCAGCAGAACTCTCTTTGGGTGTGTGTTCAAATTCCTCCTATTACACTTTTTTATATAAACCCAAAGCAAGACCACGCTAGTAGTCTGAAGACCAGGCATGCACCAGGCATCCTCACCGAGGTTATGAATTCTCATCCTGCCCTTATCTGCAACGAAGCAGTAATCTAAAAGGAAACTTTTGGGCTGCATGCCTTACTAACCATATGATCTCATTACGAGCTCCCTGCCTCTTAATTTACGGTAATGCCGTTTCTAGTCAAATCACATTTTTACACAGAGCCTGCTCCACCTTTCATCTGTCCGGGGGAAGTTTGCCACGGGTGTCGGGGTAAGCTGGGTTGGGCTCTCAAGAATAGGTCTCAGACTCCAGCTGAAGAAGGCCAGCAGATAGGGCAGCTGAACTGCTGGAATGATCTGGTCGTGGCATTTGAAATCAGGAGGAGTTCAAAGTATCTAACAGTATTTCAAATACTGTATATTTGGGCCTTTATAGAGCAATTCTTGTAAACTTCTTGGGGCAGAACAATTGTCCCATGTTTGCAGAACGAATGCACATTCTTGCAAACACACGGGCACATTCACTGTTCCCTTTCTTTCTTGAAACCTATGCAACAGCACAGTGACTTTAAATCTCAGGACATGCTCAAGTGCCTGCCTGAATCAGAGTTATAAAGAATAACGAAGTTGAAAGCTACCAAAGTGGCAAAATAGAGAACTTTAAAAACTGAAAAAAAAATTTGTCTTTTCCGAAGGATAAACCAATTAGCGCAGTGACAATGGCCAGGTGGACGCCGTGGCAAATGGCCAGGCGAGAGGCACTAAGAATAACCACAGCTAGATGTTGCCAAGGAGATATTTTCTGGCATGTCACAACAAAGAGAAAAGGTATTACAATACTAAAAAGAAAAGTTGAAAACTAAATTGATCTCATCAGGGCCACAGTCACACAATGAATAACATAAAGATGAGAGATAATTGCACTGTTAAAAGATTAAGTGAGAGCAAGGTAATAGAATACCCCGGGCTAAAACTTTTTTTTTTTTTTTTTTTGTGCAAAATGGTGAAACATATTGTGTTACAATTTTAACTTTCATATTACAACATAATAGTCAAAAAGGGGAAATGAAAGGAATGGCAAACCAGCCAGGCAAACCAATCTGTGTGACCTGGTTGAAATGGAGCTCTTTGAGAACTGAACATAAAGTTTTTCCAACAGAAAACTTATCCTTTGGAAAATTTTCAGCTATCAACCTCACTAATGCAAACACAGGTTTCACAATTTAGCACCAGATAATGAATGAGCAAGATGTTTCTCACTCAGTGCTTAAAAGCAAGCTCAAAAAGGGGCAAAAAAAGCTACTCTGTAGAAAATTAATTTATGGGCCAACCTCTAAGTTTCACTGACTTAATTGATTGCATCTGGGAAATGCTTATCTTGCAAATATTTTGGCAAGTCATTGTAAACTGGCCTGTATTGCAGAGCCTGTGACTGGCAAAACACATTGCCCGATTTACCACATCCCACCCATTTAGAGAGCCCACAGCTGCCCCAGGAACAGGGCTCCGTCCCTCGCAAGCCCTCAAGTGCACGTGTGCACCCGTGCAGAGCAGGCTTTGCTTTACATGACTCGTAGAGCTACAAAGGGAGCTCTACACTCTCAATCTCATTTGCAGCTAACGCATAATTAATTAAACTGCAGAGTTCGGCCACGTCTCCACGCAGGTGCTCGGCGTAGAGCCACAGCTCCATGAAGCTGTACGGGCCCAGAGATGCCACCTGAAGTCCCAAACGCAGAGCCTTCTCGCTTCCTTTTGAGCAAAGGATCGGGATCTGACCCACAACTTACTTTCCCCGACCAGGCCTTAACGAAGTGTTTATGGGTTATTTGAGTCCAAGCCTGCCACTGAGATACTCGAACACCCAATCTATATTCCAAGCATGATTAAATTACAGCAAATTAGCACATTAAGTAAGCTGCCTAGCTGACCCCCTGGCTTTGTAGGTGACATGTCTAACAATCCCACCCGCATTTTTAACAGAATGAAATGCCAAACCACGGTACAGGACCTGAATAACAACAGGTTCCAGGGGATGGCAGTTGTCTTTCCTGCTAAGCCAACTATTCTGCACGAAGGGGAAATTAAGTTTAATTACAGTTTAACAAACAAACATTAAAAAACACACAGGTAAAAAAAAAAAAAAGAGTCAAATTCCTAGCCAGGGCAGGGTGGGTGAGAAGACGGAGAAAAGACAAATAAATACATACAATAACTATACATCATTGGAAATACTACTGAAAAATAACAGCTGAAGCAAACATGCATCTTTCCAATGCTTTTTAGCCGTAACTACAGAACAACAAAGCTCGCCTTTTGGTAACTTTTCAAAGTGGAATTATCCCATCCTTTTAAAAGAGGAGCTCTTTTGTCAGGTATAAAGTCTCACAAAGTTGCAAATGATCCAATTAACCGTTTTCAATGTCAAGTATAACAAACATAGTGTAAATCTCATCAGTGTAAATAATGTATCACACAAATGGCAATGCAAACAGCCCCTGTTCTTCTATATAATCATAATGATCTTTTAATTAGACAAAGTAAACGGTCTGCTGGTTTCACCTTGTGAAAAAAAGCATAGGAATAAAGTTTCCAAGTTCTAGGGTGAAAAATGCATGCAATTTGAACTACCTCTAAGTTCAACCAACTTCTTGTACATCTTGGAATATTACGCCAGAAATCAGCAGTCAGTCAGGAAAAAAAGTTAATTTGAGTTTCACAAGAAGAAAACATCATCCGGACAGTCTGAGCAAAGGCAATGCGATGCACGATGCCTTGGCTACTTACACAGCAGGATTTGAATCAGAGCAAGAAGGAGTTATAGTTTTACCTATGTTTTGAAAATATCCTTGTTGCTAAATCTGCTTGGACTTTCTGCAATAACAAAACCAGCTGCAATTGATTAGAGACTGTAAGAAAGACAAAGCTAACTTGGAGGACGCAGGAATTTCTTAAACTTCAAAATGACAGTAAAAAACCCTGAAAGAGAGAACCAGTCTCTGCTCCAG